ATCTGACCTACTTGTTTCTTGCCTTTCTCAGTGAGAACCTTTGGAGAGGGTAGGACAGTAGTTATGCCAGTTTCATCCAAATTTAGTATACGGTTTGGTTCAAATTTGAATTTTTCTAATACGCTCTTATGATTACAAAAAAATGCATTAACGTTTGCTGGATTGAAGGAAGTTGCACGAGCGAGGCTAGTGTTTTCAGGTTTTCTTAAAGAAATGTTTTTGTGTCTCTTTAAGAATGATTTCATCCAGTCAATCCCCGCCTGTTTTTCTACATTCCATTTATTGGGAAATTTTTTATTTAGTTTAAGGGCATACTCGTAAGCTAGTGTTCTTGTTTGACGCAAAGTCAAACCATAGTGAATTGATGAACTTTTAAGAAGATAACTATTCAACATATTTTCTTCTTCTGCTGAAAATACTTGATTGCTAGCATATTTTGACTTGCCTTGGTCTACAGTATCAGATTCTGCACCGGAATCTTCCGTTGTGTTCCGTTGCTTTTTGAAACGTTTGTGCAACATTGATTTCTTTAAGCCAAATTCCGATGCTGCTGTACGCAATGACATTCTGCCATTACTAATTTCTGTAAGGGCTCTTGCGACAATAGTTTCATCAATATCAGCTCTCGATGTTTTGTGCTTATAAGTCCTTACCATACTGTAAAAAAGAAAATTTGTGGGTATTGAAACATAGACTTTAGGACACGGTGTGGAGTAAATGTGGACTGTGGGGTAGATGTGGACAGTCCACATCTACCCCGTATCTGCATGTCCACATGTGCCCCGGTTACAATTTGTAGATGAAAAATTGTTTTAAACACAAGGGTGATTTTCACAGGTAAAATATTGTGGTAGTAATAACCCCTAGTTAAGGTTTGTAAACATAAGTTATTAGCAGTATTATACATACAATCTACTTACTTGATGATCACCGATTATATTCCTCTAATAAGTTTACTTTGTCACCATTCAAACGTGCTTTCAACCATAACACAAACACTATCAGCTGTTAAATGTTCAAACTTTATTCACACATTAGGTATAATCAGAGACATCTATGAGAATTTTTTCGAATTTATTCATGCCTTATAAAGCGCTGAATTCAAACTGCCCACATGCACCCCCTGTCCACATGTGCCCCCCTTTCCCCTATGCTGTGCGTTTCCATGGGGTTTAGTCCTATCTATAGCAACAGTAGCATCAATTTTTGAGTGTGCTCCGAAATAAAACATATTATGTTATTAGTAAATTAGGTATAAATGTGAGGTGAGTTTTATTTATTTAAATTTTCCTGAGATCAGACATTATTACATGGCGATCCTACCTAAAGAACAATTAAAGTGTTTAACGTAGAATTAAAAATTAGTGTAAAATGTCTAATATTATAATAACGTGCAGTTCGCAATACATCATTGAGATTGCTGGATCGGGTAACAACAACGCCAATCAACCCACGTCTGACGTCGAGGGCACCAAATTCACAGAAATTGGAGTTATCGTGATCATTGTCCTGCTGTCCGTCGCCATTGCCTATTTTGTATGGGAAAAGTGTAAAAAAAATTGCGAAGGCAGCGTACGTAGAGAGGTCATCCGTATCCACGAATTACTTGCAATTCCTGCACAAACAGCTCCAAGAAGGAATTATGTAGAAAAAGAGTAAGAGTTATGATAGAATTAGTAGATTTTTTAGATTACATGCTATCGCCAGTGCGTTTTTAAATAATAGGAAAAAAGGAAAAACGTAGTGGTTTAGAGTACAATAGGAAAAAACTAAACGATTTAGGAGAATTTACGTTAGAATTAAATAATTTACGATTAAGGTTTTACGAAGAACTAAGTCTTCAACATTGAAATTAGACGACCAGGTTAAAGGTACGATAAGGTCTATTGAAGATATTTTAGCAAAATGTCGTAATTTAATAGAAAGTAGGATAAATTTAGGTAATAAGCTAGACAAAATGGGCGAATCCTTTGCGTTAAAAACCGCTTCGGGTCTTTTGCCGTGTATGGATTGGGAAAGAGCCAACTACGAAGCAATTGATAGATTCTATTAGATTATACGCAGATTTATTAAAAAAAGAGGATCATGGAATTCTAATTAAGTACGTTTTAAAAACGAGACTCTCGGAAAATGCTAGGTTAGATTAAATACGTCGTACGATACAATAGATTCTTTACTTAGTGAGATTAGTGACAATTTTATTACGAAAATGTCAGCCACTGTTTTATCTCATCAGCTACACTATTAAACTGTTAAACCAAAGTTTTATATATATATATATATATATATATATACAGGGTGATTCCTATAGTACCTGCCACCGTTTGGGAGCGTGTAGGTTGTGCGTAGGGGAGTATTTTGATATAGGACACTTGGGGTCGGAAATCTAAAATAAGGGTGCCAGAGCCAAATTTCCTTCTGGAATTTCGCGCCTGTAGGTAGGCAACCCAACCGGCCGGCGGTGCACACGGAGCGATCTCAGGCGGCGATGTGTGGCTGACACTTGATCAGAATTTTGTTTAAACCCACGAAATCCCGTCTGCAACGACGCGTATCAAGTGAATAAACACTATGGCAATAGTATAATAATAGTTGGCTAGATGTAGGAAGTGCATTGAGAACAACGGTGGCCACGTTGAACACTTGTAAACGTTATTGCTTTTGACTGTCGTTTTCCCTCCTTCCCTCCCATGTCGCTTCCTCGCGCTAACTCGCTCTGCATCGCTCCGCGCGAAACGTCGGTCGGTTGGGTTGCCTACATACAGGCGTGAAATTTCAGAAGATAAATTTGGTTCTGGCGCCCTTATTTTAGATTTCCGACCCCAAGTGTCCTATATCAAAATACTCCCCTAGGCACCCCCTATACGCTCCCAAACGGTGGCAGGTACTATAGGAATCACCCTGTATACCGAGATTAAGCTATACTTAGAATAAATGTCGACGGTTGCGTTGGTTACCATTGTGTCAACCAATGGCATACGTGTTGCTATGGCAGTTATTCCAGGAATATCTTATTCTCGGTAAAAGTGTAATTGTAAAACCGGCCCTAAAGATTGTAGATTAAAGTTACATTACGGTTAGGCCAATTATAAACCAGCCTTAAAGCTATACGTGTCCCTTAACCACTTCAACTAAATCATCCACAGGTTCACACCACAGATTAAAAGACTTGTCAGTTACAATTTTCAAAAGTAGGGTTAGGAGATGGACTTCTGTTCGTGGTTCTTGGTGCTTCATCGTATTATATGCAGCTGTGTCTCATGCATCAACACCTGGAAATTATTATAGATGGTTTAAGAGCGCGCTGCCAGAGTGGTGGGGGAGCTTATTGCCTTTAGTTTATATTGTTACCATTTCAAAATCAGACGGATAACGGCAGATGGCGCTAATGTTGTCTGAAAGCACTTCTTAAGTATCTTGTTTTTATCTCGAAAATTCGCCGCGTCCTTCGGAAACTTTCGCAGACTTTCGCTATATTTACAACAAGCACGTACATTTGTAGTCAGGCTCAGGATATAAATAAAGAAAACAAGATTATGCTAGTTGGTGCATGACATCACGCAGACAGAACTTTAACATCGGGATTCTGAATTTGTGTTTTTATGATTTAGGTGAAAAAAATGTATACAACCTAAACGCAAAATATGCCAAAAAATATGAAGAAATCGTTAGACCACCTTTAAAAGTGCTATAAACTATAATTGAGCGCACTATAAACAAGAGGAAGTACAAGCGTTTTTCAAAATATGGTAGATACCTACTTATGCTAAAGTATCTAAAAATTTTGGAGTAGATTACTACATAAAATCTAGCATAAAATATTGATTCATGTAGGTACACAAGTTATAATTAATTGGATGAAAAATGGATTCGATATATTCTTTTCAATAGTAGACTTTACACTGGTTTGTAATTACATCCCTACTTCTAAAATGAATTATTTTTAAAGGAAAAAAGCACGAAATAAAAATTGCACGCCAAGAAACAATTTGCTAAGCTATGTGTACCATAAACCTGCGAAATCCTAAAGCACAGTTATTTTTAGAACAAAGGGCTACTGTGTATTGTGTTGGTGTCATTCACAAGCTCCGACCTTGTGTGGGTGTTGATTGTGATGCGATTTCTTTGACTGTCTACCTTATAGTCCAGGAGACAGCGACATTTTTTATGCACTCATTTCTATAAAGTTGATATTCTGCCATTTTGATAGTACGAGTAAACACAAAGTCTACCACCCACGCAAGATGCATAAAAAATTATTCAATTGAACTTATTTCTACAAAGATGAAATTTTTGTTTCAAAAAGTTGATGTCATTTCAGACACACAAAAATTGGTCTAGCGATCTCTGATTAAAATACTTTAGAAAGAAATGTGGCGTTTGTTTTTTCGGGACGCCCACCATCCCTACTGACAGGGGCACCCCCTCACATATCGTATTTGGCATAATATGGAACCGAATTGGGACTGGGAAATACCATACTAAATTACTAAGTAAATTGTGGAACATAAGAAGTTTATTTTCATATATCGCGTGCAGTGGGATGTCAATGATGTCATATCATATTTAATTGCTCTCATTGCGAACTATTAGATTTCGCATTGAATGCATACCTATCTCGTTGAGAAATGAATGAAGGATTAAGCAGCAATGCCGACTTCCTACATCATAGCACAGAATAATAAATCTGTGACCCGGTCTCAGTCTTGGATTTTGCGTGTTGTAGCGTTTCTTTAACATTTGAATGTCGAAAGTTGGAAAATTTTTAACATTCCCCCTTTAAGAAACTGCTCCGTTCCTCCCTTCCTACTACTGAATTAACGGTTCTGAAAAAACGAAAACGATGCCGAAATCTTTACATTTACCCTGACCTACAGCGTCGCGCTCGCGGGTTCTTTTTGCCTTATGAACGAACGAGAGCGGTATATTCATATGTATTCACTACCGTGGTCATGTATTGTATTTAAATTCAAATGAGAACCCGCCATGTTTCTCCGCCATCTACAGGCGAACCACTGCACTTACGTTTCGCTTTCGATCTAAATATGGTGGGAAACAGCACTAGGGTCATTTTATAATGAAGAAGTTTCGTACAAATTTCCTTTAATTGACCATAAAATCACTTGAAACTTATGTGTTATCTTTGTAATGACCCCAAGAAGGCAATGACGAAAATTCATGGAGATTTGATTTCATAAAAAATTATCAAAGTCCTCGTTTGAGATCGAAGGGACTTCAGCGCATTTTTGTGTGGCAGATCAGTATTCTATTAGCCACTTTCGACTCCACCATCAGTAAGATCGTGTCGGGGGCTACCACATTCCCTTTGACGGTACCCACTTCCGACGTTCCGTTCACCCGCAATTCGCGTTTGAAGATTTGACTCCACCATTAGGAAGATCGTGTCGGGGCTACCACATTCCCTTTGACGGTACACCCTTCCGACGTCCCGTTTACCCGCAATTCGCGTTTGAAGATTTGACTCCACCATCAGCGAGATCGTGTCGCGGGCTACCACATTCTCTTTTACGGTACCCACTTCCGACGTCCCGTTCACTCGCAATTCACTTCTATTGGCGACACGAGAAAGAGAGACAGCGATTCGAGATTCACGAAACGTTAAACCGCGTGAGTTCGCAACGGAAGGTAAAAGGCGCCTGACTACTTCTCGAAGACGCGCGCGCCGCCTCGCAAAAGGTCGTTAATTTCGCCCCTATGACAAAAAACAAAATTCCGCCACGCAGGAGTTGTGCGCGTTTACAACATCTTTCCGACGACACCAATTTCAAAAGAATCGGACCAAAACTGTAGTAGAAGATAGGAAAAAACTGAAAAACCTTCACGTTAGTATACTACGCTCGAGGATGACGCCCAGATGTCGCCAACCCCACATCATGTAGCCATGTCCCTAAGGTTGACAAATTTCACGGCCCTGTAGATACACGTACACCCGTTGCCTTTCTACAAGAGTTCTTCTACGCGCCCACATTTGCTGCCAGCCAGCCAGCCAGCCAAAGTGAGATTAAAAGCTACTTTTTACAAATAAATTTGCAAAAATGCGCTAAAAATTAAAATTGCCCATTTTCAAAAATGTAATTAACCTATTTATAGCGAATGTAGATAGATGAAAATTCGTTACCTCCTGCGCTGGTCCTTGCTGATTAATATAAAAAAAAAATTGGGCTGATACCACAAACGGTTTTTAAAAATTGTACGAAAATCTGAAGGCATGTTTTAAGCGTGTTTTCTACACTGATCCCCACCACTCCGGCAGCGCGCTCTTAAAATTCTTAAAATCTTCCAGCCCTATACAGCTACACTATATACTCTACAGTGGTGGCCAGTGACGTGTTTTTTTTTCACATTTGGATAGACGTTATACGTTATTTATGGCGTTTGTGTATTATTTGGTAGCAGCTACTTGTTCCTTTCCCATTCTGTTTATGTGTACAGTGCCACCATGCTCAGAAAAGCCCCGGAAAATATGCGAACTAATTTTGAAATAATTTGTCACTGTATATGCATACATACATCATACCTTTAAAAACAATGTTGACTAGGCAAATAGAATCGATAACATATTGATAACAGGTAATAATCCTGCCTCGAATCCTGCATACATTCTTTGGCTTTTGAGACTTATAATTATTAATTGTTGTACTCTCTATAGATAAAATCATCGTAGTGACCTATTATTACATTGTAATATTTAAAAAACCTAAAGGTAATGTAGTGTACTTAACCCCCAGGTCCTACGCTAACATCACACTACAAGAACACGGAAATAAAATCAACCCGGCTAACGTTTAAAAATGGACACCCGAATGACTATTCCCTCTAAAACTAAACAAGAACCCGCTTAAATTTGAAAAGTGGCACGTGCTAAAACATATAAGGCAGGGCCCCCTTACGTTAGTTGAAGATAACGCTTTGACCTGAAGCACAATAGGGAAGGAACGTTAAATCACGTTAAATAAAACACTGAAATTGTGAAAAGTTTGTTTAATAATGATCGTAATTATTATGATTGTGAAAACCCGGAAATTTAGCTGATGTACATTAATATAAACAAAACAAACAAAGCCAAAAGGTGTCGTACTCTCGCAAAAGTCACTGCCAAGGATAAAAAGAGTACGACGTAAGAAAAACTTTGCAGTTTGATTAAAACAGTCCAAAAGTTAATTATGTTACCGGCAAACTGCGAAATCCGGCATTTTGCAAAATGCCTAGGCATTTCGCAAAATGACGAACATGCAGGCAAAGTACGAAGGCTTCGTCATTTGCCACAGATTGCACGGAGCTTAGCTAAAGCGTAGCTTAAAATTCATGACGATTATTACGACAATGGTTGCCATGGATTTTAAGCTACATCATTGAATAAATTCCTTATTCAATGTCAGTAGAGATCGTTGACGTAGAGGTTATACTATCCACAATACAGTACTGTCATGGGTGCACAACGATGTGCATTGTGCGTGAAAACTCAACTTTAGTAGCACTGTGTACATATTTGTTTTTAAATTAGAAGTTTGGTTAGGAATTCAAAAATTAAAAACCGGGTTTTGTTTTTTGTGTGTAGTAAAGTGGCGGCCAGGGTTCTCTATGACCCTTTGTAACACTGAGTATGATTTATCCATAAGACAACTTGCTCGATAGCGCAATATGGATCCTTATTTTACGGCAGAATTAACCGATTTCAAAATAGTGGTGAACGTTCTAAAAGCAATTACATTTAAAGAGGTTTTTCTGTGTAAATCCGTATAAGCGTGTACCCAAACATTGTTTTAGTTTGCGATACTTCGACCAATGGAAGAAGGATTAAAAGTAACAGTTGATGAAATGAAATGTGTAGAGACCTCTGCGTATATTCCCCATACCATGTTTACTTCGTACCATGTAAATCCACAAGAAGATATCAAATTTAAAATAAGCTTAAAAGTCCTAACAGATTGCCTTTATATATATGGAGACGATGGAAATCCATGTCTTAAAATGACCTACAAAGGACCAGGTTCCCCATTATCACTTCTGTACATATGAAAAACCTGTGGTTATTATATTTATAATTTATATACATTTGTTTTAGCATCAAACATAACGACGATATAAAAGTAGACTGTAAAATCTATACATTGGACATTAAAGATTCGACTGATTTCTTAAGCCTGGCAGATGAATGTACTCTAAATAAAATAGTCGTAAATGCCAACCAGTTTGTTGATATATTATCGTATTTGGACAATGCTTCAGATGAGCTACAGTTAGATATATGTCCCAGTCCCCCACATTTAACAATATCGACTGTTAGTGCAATGGTAGATACCGATCTGGGAATCAATTCCTAATTTAATTATCTATACTTGTTTTTTAGGGCGAGTCACAAGCGGATATATCTAGAAACTCTGAAATGGTTCTTTTATTTCAGTGTGATAAAACCTTTTCTGCAAGGTATACATTCGGTTACATTAAGCAGATATTTAAAGTAATGAGCTTAGCTAATAAAATATCCATATCAACAGGTGAAAGTGGATTATTGGGTCTTCAGCTTGTAATTAATGAAGATACCAGGCCATTGTATGTTGAATATTACGTATCTGCTATGTTTGAAAGTGATTAAACTTGATCTTATATGTTTGTACATTTTCCATATATGTGACATTGTGTTCATTTGCTTTGAAATCAATGTTTTCCTAATTAAGATGCATTTAACAAATGGCAGTCTTAACTACGTTACCTATTTAGTGTTTGAAATTGCTAATTCCCAAAATGTCCACAAAGGAAGAGACAAGTTTTCTAGTAACACCTGGTAAGTAGTGAATCGAAGTGCGCTGAAAAATTCATATTGCAGCCGAATGCAAGTAATTTTTCATTTTTGTTTTGAATAAAGTTTGTTTATTATTGCTTCTTTTGCAATGTGGTTAACCATTAATTAATGTAATTTTGATCAGTGGTTGAATTCAGAGATTGCAATAAAATAAGTATCAGGTGCTATTTAGTTTTAAGGGATACATAGGAGTAAGGATATACTACAGGTGGATACCATACCCGGTATCCGGCCAATTTGTTTAAATAACGTGCGATCAAAAAAGGATTGACGCCACCATTGGAAGTCCAAGTTAAATATGATTTCCCATGTAACCAGAAATTCCAAAGGTGACTCGACGGCAACTCTTTTTTGATTGCACAATACCTGCTATTGGCCAAATACTATTTTAGTGTTTGGCCTATCTGGCTGAGGCATGATGTTGAATTTATAACTCCAAATCAGTACCAAATTAAGTTCAAAGTTGACGCCTTATTGAAGTTCTGATAGTACCTACACTACAATCCACGGTCCGTATACTCCTACAATCTACATACTTGCAAGTTTGGATATCATGCTTACGTATTGCGCAGGTAAGGTAATGCGATTGCGGCTATTAAAATAGATATTTGCTATTCAGACCTGGTAACAGGCCAATTTTTACCAGATTTTTTATTAATTAATCGAAGTGATAAGGCTGGTGTTAGGTAAGTGGGTAGCCAGTAAATTGTACCTTGCCGTTATTGCTTTTGTTAGTTGGGGTTGTGGAATTGTAAATCCAAAATTAAACTATTGGAGTGGAATAAATCATTTTGAAGTTTTTAATCGTCGTCCAAAACCCATACTGCTACAGCTTCTTGTAGTTTTTTATAAAAAAAACTAAGTTTGCTCTAATATTCATTTATATATTAGACAAATTTTACCACAAATATAGAAACAAATTAAACTTGCATATTATGTTTTTTTTTAAATTATATACTATAGCAACAGTGGTGGAATGGGGCGGGTGAACGGCGTTCCCACTGCTTTTTCAAAGAATATACAGTGCGTTCGAGATAAGAGGGTTAGCTCAATATCTCTTATGGTGAGATACGAAAAATTTGTCAAATATAATTTTATATCCGGTTTAACCGGAAATGGATGCAACTGTTGGTTTTCAAATGCAATGTTATTTTGCGATATTTAAAAAACAGCAATCAATTATATGATATGATAATGTGGTTGCATTAATGGTTATATTTACCATCCAGTAAAAAACTTTTCCTTTTCTGAGATTCTTTGTCCGGAAAACAAATTCGTGAAAATGACTACTCATTGTGTATTTGTAGGATCACTGTCCGTGCTCGTCATCTTGGACTACAGACGACGAGCAAGATATGTACCTACGCCAAGCAGGCGGATACACACATACGAATTTACACTGATTTCTCCAACGAACACGTCCATGGTCCAAGATGAATACACAGCGAGCCCAACAATATAATACGCATGGGTGTATTGATTTTGGACATCGAATCCCAGAAAAGGAAGTTTTTTACGGATGGTAAATAACCATTAATGCAACATTGGCGCCAGAGGTGCCAAAGGGAATGGGCGGTGCGGCTATGGCGATTATAAAAGGGCCAGATACCGGGTGATCGAAAAGTAGTGCGGACAATTTGAATTTTCCGTAAAACTAAACATTTATAACGTTGGTAACATACCAAATGTCATTTATGTAAAAGCAGTGGTGGATCAAGGTTGTTTTATTAGAAAGGTTGTCTGGTAACTCTAAACCAATAGAATGCTTGCATTTTGAAGGTGGGAAAACGTCATCCAGAATTCACATTTAAAATTGCTCATAGGTTACAAAGCTAAGAAAAGGGGTAAAAAATTTAGTTTTTGCAGTATATTTTTGGATTTATATGGGTACCTATATGTATATGAGGGTGGATCTTATATTGGAAATCATGGAAGTTTATCGACTTCCACCTTTGAAAGCAATCAAAGTATTGCAAAAATGAGTGTGGTGCGTAAGCTGTTTTACATTGCACGAGGACTTGTGAAAATGTAATCAAATTAATTTTAGAGGTGGAAATGGATAAAATTCCGCGTTCTACAAAATAGGAACCATCCCTATGTACCAATACCTAGCCTTTGGGAATTAAAACTCTAAACATTCTTTAGCGGATGACGCCAAATAAAATGCTGTTGCGTTTTATGGAAAATGTATATTTATAGTATGTACAAAATGGTAACCGAGGTGCACACGGCGAGCTCTGTCGTTGGGGTGAGCCCAGATGCAGGTCTTCTGACTGATGGAGTGTGGCGCGAGGTCGAGCTGGCAAGGCGACCTGGTTCTGCAGGTGGAGAGCTTTTTGTTTCTTGAAGTGCAGTCGAAGCAGAAATTGCGTTGCACTTTGCAGAGTTCGTGGCTCTGCTTTTAAACGTTTGCGGCCAGGGACGCTACGCTTTCATCGGTTGGCCGTTTTGACCAATGAGGGCGCAGCACATTTTAGTTTGCTGCCGGATGTGAAACATTTTCTTACCCATTCTTTAAGAACGGTAGGGTCCTTGGGAAACGTAAAAACCGAGATTTTATTTACACCAGGATGAGGAATTTTAGTGTTACCGCAACTCATCTAAAAAAATACTTCATTCATACAAAAGTGCATATAATTGATGAACACTAACCTTTCAATCACGGCTATGAAAATCCACAAACTAAATGTCTTTATATTGCACCAAACAGGTATCTACAGCTAAAATATGTCCTTATGCACTTCAAAATTCAACAAATTTTAAACAAATAAACTATAACTCAAGAAAAATAAGCACCCACGCGACTACAAACAACGTTGAACGTCAATGTCAGAATTCTCGATGACGTATACATTCCGTCCCTCCCGCTTCCGCCCACATAGTTACCAGGTAACCTTTGAAATAAAATAACCTTGGTGGTGGATGAATTTAATCACTAATGCATAAATAAACTACCTTCTAAACATGTTTGCCAATTCCTTAAGTAAAAAATATTAAAAACTTAAAGCGCCCAATTTAAGGCCGTATTAGACGATGCAATTTTTATTGCAATTTTTGCAGCAATTCATTGCCGCAAGAAATTGCACGAAAAATTGCTCCGTGTATGTTAAAATTGCACGTGCAATTTCTTGCGCCAAATATTGCAGCAAGACATTCTGCAATTTTCTGGTTATAGAACTTGTGCTATTTTTCTTGCAATTTTTCTTGCAATTTGGTAAATATTTTAGTAACATTTAATTTATAAAAAAAATAAAGTGGTATGCACTGGAGAACATTACCCCCTTATGCTATATACAGGTTTGTTATTTAAAGTTAAAACTGAAATAACCTATTTACGAGGAATTCAAAAATGGATATTGCTGCCGCATCTTTAGTTATTGCGTCTGCTGTTGCTCTTTAAAAAAAAGAAACAAAGAAGACGACGACGTTTTTGGACCAGGCTCAATGAATTTAACGAACCTGAGTGTGAATAAGTGCGTGCAAATATAAATAATAAATTGCACGGCCTTCAACAAAGGAATCGTCACAAAACACACGTTTCCTGGTCTACAACAGACGTGAAGTTGCTTTCAAGTATTTCCCAGTGATGCCAATTCCACTTTCATTGGCACCAATACATGATTAGAATTGGGTATAAAAAAATTGCCAAATAAATTGCATAGTGTAATCATTGCATCTTTTTGCAATAATTGCTGCAATAATAGCAGCAATAGTTGCTGCAAGGATTGCAATAAAAATTGCATCGTCTAATACGGCCTTTAAACTGTCTGCAGTTCTTTTTGATCACCCGATATACAATAGCATTTGCCAAAAAGAATCCAATGTTTATTTTTCCATGGTGTTAATAAAACAATAAGGCATTGACAGATCGTTCCTATTTATTTGAGTTAACCTATTTTCTTATGAATTTCTTTTTCTCGTAATTGCGCATTGTACAGGGTGGTTCAAATTCGTGGCTCACCGTTGGGATCTCCGTAACGGCACAAATAAAATTGGGTATTTCATCTGTGGTAACTGTTGTAACAAATTTATGTTCACAGTGTAAAATAAATACATTTTAACAGTAACAGAAATTGGAGTTCGATTAGACGGTGTTTTGAAAAGGGATTTGTTGCCAAGTCGTAAGTTTTTTTCTGATCGTTCGTTCTATTCATACATATATTTTTTTAGCCTTTTATTTTTGGGTTTATATGGTTTATGTTTTTCTGAAAATTTGGTTTCGGATCAAGTTCTAAAAATAAAGCGAAGCTGTTGTGCAGAAGAAATACTTACCACGTTTGGGGTTCGACGTTTTTTTGGGTTGTGGTCAAAAGGCGCTGAGGCAAGCGTTATCATTTGTTGGGAGTAACCTTCCGTGAAAAACCTTTGTGGATAATCCTACCGCCATTCAATCTGGAAAATTCGAAGTTCAACTTATAACAATACACAAATCAGTTGGTATGTAGTTTTGGATTTGTTTTTGATTTATTTTCATACAAATTTGTTATTTTTGTTTAAACCGTGGACAAGCACAACTTTGGATAAAAAGTTGGCAGCTGAAATAAATTTGTTCTTTTGCTGTTTAAAAGTTGATTTCGATATATTTATTAATTTAACGTAACTAGAGTAGCTACTTGTCCATTGGTAATGGATGTGTTCAAACCAATTAGTACTTACTTTCTAAATCTGCAGCGCTACCTGTAAAAATATGGCCACATTTACATAAAAGCTGTGTGATGTAAGCTTCAATTACATCAATTTAATTAGTTTTGTTCACTACGTGCCAACGAAAACCTTTTTTTTTAAATTTCGAATAAAGATCTTTGTGTTTGGGTAAATGCATGAGTTTGATTCTTTTGGTGGAATGTTTAAGTTGTCTTTTGATTACAGATAAATTATATGTACTTACCTACGACCATTGCGCCGACCTGATTAGCTGGCATATTTTACCTATTTTTTGTAAACGTGGTTTTCACGTTATACTGTGACAGATACCTTTTTGTGACTAAAAAAAACCCATTAAACTTTTTCAAAAATCTTTGAAAATAACAGACATAACTGAAATTTCCAATTTTAGTTTTCATTTTCCGTTAACTTAAGGACTTAAACGACCAGAAATGGACGGTTCATATAAACACCGTCTATGGGCACTTTTTTCAGAGAATCTGAATCTGTTATTCAGGATTTTCATAACGCGCTAGAAGCTACAGGCTTCTACTTTCTTATGTCCTATGGACGCCATATTGGATTTTTACGGAATGAAGAGTTCAAAGAATGAAATTCATTTCAACGCATCATAGCCATGTTGATTCACAAAAAGGTGCAACATTGCCCCATTTAACCTATCCTGTACTTCTTTAATGAAAATATGATTGGCCCGACTTGACAAAATTGGATTATAGTCAATAGTGCCTTACTTACCATATTAAAAAACGGCTTTTAATCACTAGGTTCCGAGGTGCACAATCACTATCAGAATCAGCAACAACCTCCACTCGGTCTTTGTGCTGAAAACTAATGGATGGTTGGATGATATAGGTGGAGAAAATCAGACAACACCTATGCTTTAAGGTAGGTATTCACGTTCAGTTCGTCGGCCGGCCATGGACTGTGAGTCCAGGCCGGCCGGCCGTGATCGTTGCTCAATTCACACGTCCAGTTTTAACATCCGGCCATTGCCGGATACGATATTGGCCGGCCGGCCGTATTAAATTCAATACACACGCACAGTCTATGATCGATAGTTGCTTGATATAGACATGTAGAACAAGACGATTGTTGTAATTTTAGAAGAAGAAAAAGGAGAAAACGGATGAGACTGCTCAGAAAACCTCACACCTTACCTCACATGGAGATAAGACGTGAACTCCCAACATCAAGTGAAATTGATTTAAAGAACTGCTTTGCGTACTTATTGAATTTCGTTAAACCGAGAGTTAAACCTTTTATTACAAAAAAGACACTGTTATGCGGCAGGCATAGGGCAAAATTTTACTCCAGACTAAAATTAATCCGTCCGTCCTATGCCGGTCGGTCAAGCAGTACACACGTTACGATCTTCACCGCTATAGACAGGCGACAGGATTTCGCCGGCCGTCCGCCTCTACGTGTGTATTGAAAAGCAATCGTCCGGCCGTGGACTGATGGCCGGCCGGCAAACTGAACGTGAATACCGACCTTTATACATTTGCTCAAACAACCAAACTTTCAAATCACTCCACCTAGTTTAAACCAACTGCTAACAGCATGCCACAAAAATTTTCAAGCAAACACCAACCTGCCTTTGCAAGCACCCTAAAGGTTATCTCGACAATCGAGAAGCATAAGTTGTCAAGAACTCAAAATGCAACGTCTACATGCACAGATCCAGCCTACTTTTTATATCCAGAATTCCATTCCAATCCAGTAACTTCAAGTGCAAGTTAAGCACTGCGATATGGTTTCTCTGTACGTCCAAATATATAAAAATTATTTTTAAAAAAATTTAAAAAAACAAAGCGAAATTAAATAAGCTCCTGCAAATAGCATTTTAAGAAATTGTTTTTGGTGTCAATATCATTCTTTGTATTTATTTTATAACAAAGTCCACTTACTTCTACATAACTTAATATTCTTATTCACATGTCGATACTAGAATTTAATTGCAAAAAATTAAGGAAATGAAAATAAGAAGGACTATGTGATAAATTGAAACATTTAACAACATTTTCATAACATGTTTAAAAATATATTGATTTCCTTAATTTTTTTGTGTTTTATGTACTTACACGAGTAATTTTTCTAGAAAACTATTTCTTTCACTATACAGTGTTCATGTGGATGACTAAAGACATTGTTTAATATACTTATAAAATTCACTAGATCATTGTATAAATTCCTCAACTGAAGTGGTTTTCTTCACAGTACCTATCAGTTGCGATCTGTAAATTTTTCTACCGTTTCCTCAATCAAGCATTCAGTTTACAATATATTTTCCTAGTTTGATCATTTACTTTTCTATCACATTTTCAACAAATCCATTGTAAAGTATTTCGTAGCAGGGAAATTCAAATTCTGTCTGATATTCCAAAAATAATGCCCTAAATTGAGTGATATTTTTTACTATATACTCATTAGTACAATTGCGTGTTCTTAATTTACAATGATATGCGTACCAAGTTTTCACCTTTGTACACAGAAATCTGTTTTGTTGTGAAAATGTTCTGTACATACATAATTCATACTTCCAAAAGTTCTGTGGATACGAGTGTTAAATTAAGAATACATGAAACTGTGTTTTAAGATATACAGGGTGAACAAAAGAATAAGTAGTTGCAAAATTATTGATTTTATCGAATATTGTAAAATTTTGCTTTCCACGCAAGTACTCTTTTACAAGTCTCTGTGATTTGAAAGGAAGACAGTAAAATTTGTACCATTTTGGCGTTATTTTGATAGAGAAATTGAATTACCCTCTACACCTACTTGCTTATCACAAAACACACAAACCACTTAAGCACTCTCAAAAAATCGTTAATGGAGTATCAGTCGTTTCTTTTACATGTGTAATAAAAAGTCTAAATATTAGCAACGATATATATACATATAAAACTTTACTAATTTAATAATAGTGAAGTTATAGTTGGAGCGACTTATGATGGAGCAGGTAAATAGAATAATAACAATAAACACAAAACACTTTTACGCACCGCTTCTAGTACCACCACACTGGCACACTTAAATAATAGATCACAAAAATTTGCACTTCAAATAAAAAGTACTTAATGGCTTTGTATAAAAGACACTAAGGAAGAAGGTACAATTCCTTTATATGGTATTTTAAACTGTTGTATAACTTGCGCAGCGATACAACTCAGTCTTGAAAATTTTGCGACATTCACTAGCTCATGCACATGCTGTCCTTTTAGCAAACTCGTAAATGTATCACCGTTATTATTAACAAAGTCAAGATGTGCACCGTGTTCTAATAACGTCTGTGCTAGACTAGCAGGACATGGCTTAGCAAGAGCAGCGAGATGTAATGGGGTATTGCCTTCTTCATCTCTCGCATTTGGATCCGCTCCGACATGTAATAGTACCGTCGCTAGATGAGGAGATGGAAACTGGCATGCGGGATATCGTCCAACTAATGCTGCATCCCTACAACAGGCGAAATGCAAAGCAGTTCTACCGAGGCGTCCCTTAATTTTTAGTTTGATGAGATCATATAAAGCCTTAAAAATTATGCCGGAAAGCTCTGTTGTGCAATTAGGATGATTCAATAACCTCGTCAGAAGGCACGCCAAGTGTAACGTAATGACTAATACTCTCGTTAAATATGTGACATCTCTCTCAGCATTCGAAATTTTATCTAACATTTGATTTCCTAGCTCCACTTCTCTAATAGCCTTACGGAAAACTCTCAACAGCTCTAGTAGGTCAACTGGTGGAACAATGCGACCTCTGGTAGTTGGTCGTCCTTCTTCCCCCATCATAAACGAAAATAGTTCCGTAAACGAAAATAAGCTACTTTGAGTCATAGGATTCAATCTCTCCAGCATTGACTGTTGCATATCGAGTGCGTAATTCCATAACTCGATACATCTGTTAAATTTACCCGCATCTGCATAAACTGCACCTCTATATCGTATGTAGTAACTTGTGTCAGGATGAGCCGGCCCTAATATCCTTTCCCTTATTACTAATGCTTGCATTCTCATCTCGTCAGGATCAGCCATTAATTCTTCTAGATTCTCAGGACTTGTGATTTCTACTGCGTAATCGTAAGCGGCAACTGCTTGTGCTGGTGGTTTAGGAAGTTGAGGTCCGTCACCATTATACCTTTGAAGTATCTTATGGTTACTAGTAAAGTCACTGCAAAAATCGCTTACCTTTCCTCCATTGCTCGTTTCCAGTATTCTAAAGCTCCAATCATATCACGCGCTTTATCGACGAACGTTGCTCCTAACAATTCCAAGGCGTCAATTCTTTCTTTTCTCGAAACTAAATGCTGCTGTTTAATTAAGTACTCTACTATATGATTATGGCCCGTTACTGCAGCAGCCAGTAACGGTGTCATACCTAAAAAGTGAAGGTGAATTAATTAAGCGTGTAAATTAAGATTAATACCATAGGAATCGACGTCCATTGTAGCACCAAACTCGATTAGCAGCTGAAGTATAACCAAGCTACCAGATTCTGCGCAATCGTGAAGAGCCGTATTACCCTTGACACTCTTTCTATTTACTCCGGCACCAAGACCAAGAAGAAACTTCGCTATTTGCGTATGCCTCTTGTAACAGGCTATCATAAGACATGTGTGACCGTGCCGGTTCGCAACTTCGATGTCTTAAAAAAAATTACTTACATGAAATGCGTGAAGATACTCAACAAAGGATACCCACCTGCCCCATGCTTAACTAGGTACTTAACGATTTCTAAGTGTCCATCGAAACATGCTGCTCTCAAAGGTGTGGAGTTCGTTCGTGTTGTACTGTTTACCTGTGCTCCATGTTTTATTAGCAACTGTACAATGTCTAGATGTCCAGCGGCTGCAGCACACCAAAGTGGCGGTGCTCCCTCTATCGTTTCACCATCAAACATTACTAAAAAAAAAAGAAAAATGTGCTATAGTATATCGTTATTTTTTGGTCTTCAAGTAGGTACTACTACTTTCTTCACTCACAGTTTTGCAATTGGTAAAATACTCATACAATGCGTTTTATCAAACGAAAGATGTAGATGATGGGCTATTGGATTTACCAATGACTGCTGTTGTGAATTATTTCTCGTAAATAATTGTTCACTATGCTAGTTAACAATGGAAATATGTTATGTTTTCACATACCAGTATAAAGTGACGAGTTTTTGTGTCGCGTAATCGTGTAACGACGTTGGGCATTGGAAGGGAAAGAATTGTGGGCTCTTATACACTGTCCAAGATAAGGATCTCTTTCATGGGGATCTCCGAAACCAAAGAAAATACGACGTTGGTCCCATTACAGCTATTATCGTGCTTTAAAGAAAGCTACAAAATTCTGGTTACTTCCAAAGATATCTCAGAAAAAATATTCAGCAGGACGGTGCACCTGCGCACAACGCTTTTATCGTGCGAGAATACCTATCGAACAAATAAACCATTTTCCAGGAAATGAGTGCAATAGTTAGTCTCGCAGGATTAGGGCATTGTGCAAGGGTGCACCATTCTGTTGACATCAGCAGTTTCCAAATTTTGTTTCGGGATCCTTAACACATGATAACACTTTCATTGCGTATCTTTTCTCTAATTTGACCATCATCGTATATTCTATGGTTTCGGAGATCCCCATGATAAAAACATCCTTATATTGGTCACAGTGTATAGTAGGAATAGGGAAACGAAAATTAACAGACCGGATGTTTACAAAAAAATTTGGAGCGCCGCACCGGCATCGAACTTTTTTTTCAAATAGCAACCTAAAATTATTATTAATTTATTTTCAAGTTAAAAAACAAAATATTTCTTTTTGTAAAACGGTTATTTTGTGACGTCATACAACTGTTTTTCAAATAGTAACTCACATTTTTTATTACGCGCGAAGTTTTCGGGCGGTTACCCATTCAAATACAGGTACTACCAGGAGCAGCGTTGCTTGACTGTAGACAATAAATGAATTATTAGTAATAAACGCAAAAAGTAAAAAAGCGCGTAAAGTCTTAACAACTTGCGGTATTTAATGAACTAATAGAATTATTAATTTAATAAGAGGAATTTTTTTTTGTCCGAGTATAACAATGGAATTCGAAACAAACGAAAATAAATCGCGAGTTGTGTCATTATTACAGGGATTATATACGATAGTATTTTTGCCTAGAATAGATATCAATTTCAGGGGACCATTTATTGGGGTTTAATTGCATAAGCGAGACGGGTGTAGCCGAGGGCGTAGTGGTCAGTTCTTTTGTGAGCTGCGACTGCCGTAATATCTTATATTTCATTTAATGCTACTTAATTTACCTTGAGGCAGTCGATTATTTCGGAAACTAGTGGGGATATAAAAAAATAACTTATATGAAATCTTCTTCATACGCACATTTTCACATACCTGTCCCTTAAGGATCAAGTGCAGGGCAACTAATTTTTTCCAATAGAAACCTATACGAAATATGCTAAAAGTGTAGGTTTCTAATTGAAAAAATTAGTGGCCCTACAGGCCCCCCTTAAGAGACAGCTATGCGAAAATGTGCATAGCATCATTAAATGGGCGAAGATGTTATATTGTATAAATCATTTTTGATATCCCCACTAGTTTCCACAATAATATACTGCCTCAAGACAAATTAAGTAACATTGAATGAAATATAAGATCTTCATATTTTACATCGGAAAATAATAAACTTTCGTGAGAAACTTTTTTCTCTACTTACTATTATTTTAAAATTTTTTTGTCAATCCCATTTTGTTCATGTACTCTCGCCCAAGCGACGCTGCACAATGTATCGATTGCAGAAAAAAGGATTACAAAATATCTCTTTTTTCAAATTATTGTGTTAGCAATCTCAGACAGAAAAAAAATGTATTCGAATGTAAAAATCACCTAGGTAACTACCGGATCTGTCATTTGTCATTTACGTCAAGGTTACTACCTAACATACAGCACGCATACAGTACAGTATAGTTGGCGTACATCTGGGTATCTGAAGCCGAAACTCATAACTCAGAAACTACACAGACGAATTCTTGAAACTTGGTATACGGATTACCAAACTAAAACTAATTCCCAGCGAGTTTGGATCCCAACTCAGGGTCAGAGGTCCCGACCTAGGATCGACCTCTAGTACTAGTGTTATTAGAAATGAATGATATGTTACAGTGCTCCTGAATAAAGGCACTTTTTTTTACGTAAACCCAGTAAAACGGTTTAGTAAATAATTACCTGATCCAGGTTGTTCAATATCCGCGTGACACCTCTCGATAAGGAATTCCGCAACATCATAGTGACCATTACGGCATGCAATTACTAATGGTGTAGCACCGGAAGTTTTAGCAGCTACTAACATGGATACTTCGTCCTTGCCTTTGTTACAGTGCAGGTATATCTGAAATTAAAAAACAAACGTCAGATACGACATTGCTTAAATTGGGGTAAAATTGATAAATTTAATGTAGAATCTTATAAAATGAAAGCACTTTTGAGCTACTTTCGCAGATCGTTAAACTACTAAAACTTGATAGGTAGACACATGTGCTATCGAGAGGAAAAAATTGGGTCCAGTGCTGCAAGAAACTTGTATATACAGTCTGTTTCAAATTAAGTACCTACTATTGCTAACTTTCTTAGTTGTAGCGTTAGAATGACGGTTAAATTATCAAAATTGTGTATTTTGTTCTACTGAATCCAAATCTCTAAAAACAAAACAACATCGTATTTTTCAGATAATAACAAACGTGACTTTTTATTTGGAACACCTTGTATATTATTACACCATAGCTGTCATAGCTTATTAAATTCTCTAGTTCTTAATCTACATTACCCAAAATACTTTAAATATCTAACATCTTTCAATTATTTTCATTTCGATCTAGTTATTCATGAAAATGATAATACAAAATGGTATGTTTCCATTTCCTTTCGTATAGGACGCGTAAAAAGCTAACTTAAACAGCACTATGTAATAATTTTCAAAGTTAGCTGCCAGAGACTTTACAACATACATCATTTTCATGGATAACTAGATCCATATGGAAGTAATGAAAAAATCTTGGTTATTTGAAGTATTTTGGTTATGGTGCATTAACAACTGTTGTAGAGGGCTCCATATAAAACAATCACATGTTTGTTATTATCTGAAAAATGCGATGTTGCCTTGTTTTGTAATTACCGATTTGGATTCAGTAGACAAATATACAAACTCTATAAATTGCTACCGAGTAGAATAGGTAACATAGACGAAGACTAAAACCCAAGGTCAAAGATTTTTTACCAAACATGCTTTTTTCAGTATTGCTGAATTTGAAAACGATATTTTAAACATAAATAAACGTGTAAACAAATATAGAAAACGAGCTCCTGGGAATGGCTATAGCATGTGCAAAACCAAGTTTTGAACCTAGGTGTTAGTTTTGCTTTTATTTAAAGCGTATATGTATGAATTTCATTTAATAATAAATAAGAAGCACTACACATCATGCACAAAACCAAATTTTGAAACTGGCGTTAAATTTTCTTTTATTCCAAGTGATCATGTATCAAATTTTATTTAAATTCCTCAGTAAATAAGAAAGTTGGCACTGCGCATGGGCAAAACCAACTTTTGAAACTGCCGTTAAATTTGCTTTTATTCCAAGTGGCTATGTAACAAATTGCGTTTAAATACCTTTTCGTACTTCCGAGACTAAAGTGACAACTTCACTCCATTATGACAAGTACTGAAGTGTCACTTTTTGTCCCGCCGGGATTAAATTTTACGAAAATCCCGGAAGGATGAAATTACTAACAAAGCAATTTCAGTAGGTTGTTCCACATTTTGTATGCGGCACTATTTCTTAAACGCATCGTACTGGTTCATATAGTTTTTTGGATTTCGGTGGTATCAATTCTTTACCTACTTTGGCTGCTTTTTATCAATTCAAATACGCCTTTGTCACCCACCACCAAAATTATGACACTAGCAATGACAGTTCCTATGGTAACTTGTTAAGCAGCGATTTTTGAAAGAACGCGTTCTCTAACTCCATACATATTAAGTGTTTCAGTTTCGGAAGTACGAAAAATATCGTATATACCTTGCGACTGAAGTAGTGGTCTTAATCCCTCAGGTAAATTATGGCCCTCCCTTCGGTCGGGCCATAAACTTTACCTTCGGGATTAAAAGTACTACTTCAGTCCCGCGGTATATAATATACTATTATTATGGTTTATGGTTGTAGTAGATACGGGTGAAAGTTAAAAGTACTTCGGATGACCAGCAGGAAGTCATGAATTATCTGAAGGCTTCTATTTCTTAAATCGTAAATAACACAGTTGTCGGTGAAAGAATAGACCCTTCATATTTAAACTGCTTGTCGATCCAGAGTGTTAAGTACATTTCTGCAACATAATTACAAGAAGTTAATTCCTGACATTTCGTCCGCTACACCTGCATAAATAAGAAAGTTGCAATTGGACTTGGTCGAGATGCGAAGAGGGCACTATGAATGATGATCGATTATTCTCAACTTTTGGAATTGTGTTTTATATCGCTAAAGCTATGCGCATATTGAATTTCATGCAATTCGGTTCATAACTAACGGAGATGTCACAAGGGCCTTCTTCATTTTTTGGCCTACATTGCCAACTCCGATCTACAAACTTGATAAAGAATCCACCTGCAAAATTTCATCATAATCGGTCCAATCTTCTTAATAATGATTGTTGAATAATAAGTCGTTTTCAAAATAAGTATAAGAGGTCAGGTAAAAGTTATCGAACCTAACCTCATTTTATAAATAGAACACCGTATATATTCTAATCTAAAAATCTTAAATTTTTTTTTGTCAAAAACGCTAAAATATTCACAAAAATTCAATATTGATTCAAAAATATTCAAGAAATATTTTTAAAAATGCAAACAAATTTTTGAAATCTATTTGAACGTTTTTTTAATTGTTGAATCTTTTCTGAATATCATCCCTGAATTAAAAGTTAATTATGGATTAACATTAAGATATACAAATCAAATAATGAGATTTCGCAACAGTCTACGATCCCAATTCAAAAAGGTTTCTAAGCATCTAAATTCCGCCACCAATCGAGCCACTACCTAATGCACATTGACCCTAAGGAAAGCATCCACCAATACAAAGTATTTGCTGAATTCATAACCTAATTAATACAATCTAGTTTCAAAATGAACTTTTCCCCTAAAATTATGAGAATACAATAATTGATATTTGATTTTCATGTTAATGATGTAAAATATTCAGGTAATCCACGAATCCAGCGGCATCGGCTTAAAAATACGTAGATACACAAAGGTAATGAATTTTTTGTAGTGTGGAAGATATTATAATTTAAGCAAATTTACGTAATAATTCGAAATTAAGTACGTAATCTAAAAAGCTGATCTATAAAGGATTTGCGTTGTTAACATTTTTCCACGCCAGTAGTACTTGCAGTACCCATGTACTATATAGCACGTTTGTCTCGGTATCTTGAAACTTTTTAGAGATATCATCGATAGATGTAATAAATGCAGCGGAAAAGGAAATATAAAAAATTTACATTATAGTGGCAAATAACTAATTAAAGGTTGTCAATGACTCCTTTCCACTTATTATGTAATTAATTGAAAGGTCATCCGGTTGCGTCAATACCATCTAAAAATCTACTTATTTAAAAAAAAAAGTAGGTATAGAATATTTCAAAATAAGAAATTGCAGGAAGTATGATTCATTTGATGCAGACGCAGCTTTAAAATAAAAACAATTTTGCAAAATTTCGGTTATTTCCGGTTATCTCCGAAAGTACCTAGTCGGAATTTTTTCTGTTTCAAAACTGCGTTTTGTTAAGTATCAAAATATGCAGCTTTGCCAAAATTAAACTACCTACCTATCTCTTACGTTCCCGAGATCCCCATGGTGGCCCTCGAATTTGAATCACCCTGTATAAACTTGTAACAATAACAAATATAGCAAACGAGCTCCTGCGTCACTTAAAATTAACTCAGATCTTCCTTGGGCGATGATAAACATAATACTGAAAACGCAATTTGAAAAGTCGAAACCATTCACGAGTTATGTACACAGACGGGCGGACGGATATAACGTCCAAAATCATGAACTCGCTTAGAAGCTAGTTAATATAGTTTCCGGGAAATTTACAAAAGAACAAGTCATATACGTATGGCAAAAGGGCTAAATTTAGAGTACCGTCTCATCTAATTCCTTCCAGCGAAATGAGGTTTGTCGCATACTTATACGACATTTTGATTTCGACTCCTCTGCGACGTGTACTAGACACGTGGGAGACAGCGACGAACCTATGGGGGGGCAAGGGGGGCAGGCTGCACCTCCAATACTTAACTAGTTGACAATTTTGACAAGAGTTGGTAATTTTCATTACCAGTTGCTGAATGCCGCAAAAGTAGGTAAATCGTAAATGTAATAAATCGACTATTGAAGGAATGAGGAATTGTGGCAAAATCTATAAAAAAAAGGACTCTTTAATAGGAAAGTCACTTCCTTCTTCTTCAACACAAGGTTGGTATTTTGGTAATGCTTTTAATTAGTATTAGAGACCGTATACTGATATCCTACATTTTCTACATGATTTATTAGACTTGAAAATACCACTTAATACTTAATAGATACTTCCCGTTTGAGTTGGAAATTTTTACAGTTGAGTTGGCAAAAAGTCATGTCGGCCCCCCCAATTTTTTTGTCTAGGTCCGTCCCTGGTGGGAGACATGTTCCGTTTAAAGCACAGAAGCATCTCTCTCTCTGGTTAAAATTTCAAAGAAATGATTCCATAAATACGGAAGTTGACATTGTCCATCTGCGCATGCACACATCTTATTTTTACAAAATGCTATACGTTATAAGAGAGTTATAAGCTATCGAATTAAAAAAAAAACGAACTAAATACATATATTGAAAATTGTAAGAGTAGTTAAAGCCTGGGACGGACGAACTGACAAGGTGGCAACAATAGCGCACCCAACTTCGTTCGAAAATGCGCTAAAATGGTTCTAATTCGCGAATCCTAGAAATTTAAAAACTAACCAATAAATCCAAACCCCAGAGAAGAAGCTATCACCAGGAAGCAGAGTTCGCTCTAAGGCAGATGATATACCAGTGGAAAAACTGTGGTGGATAACACACAGTTAACCACCCCTCCCCTCCCCCGACCGACGACGGCAACAAAAGTAGTGATGAAACGCCCCTGATAAGTGCCTACCAGGGACGCATCCCGACAACAGTTGACTAAATCCTGGGAGAGGCGGCGACGCCAGGCGTATGTCAAAGTATCAAGTATCAACATTCCCCTGAGGCCTGAGCTAGTATGTGAATCCTGAATATCACATATGCGCCTCTACAACACATGTAATAAATGGCTACC